AGCGATCCTTCCACCTCAGCCTTCCAAGTAGCTGGAATTACAGGCGCGTACTACCACGCTCGGCTAATTTTTTGATTTATTGTAGAGATGAGATCTCGCCAAGTTGCCCAGGCAGGTCTCGAACCCGTGGGCTCAGGCAATCCACTCACCTCAACCTCCCAAAGCACAGGATTACAGGCTGAACCACCGAGCCCCACTTTTTTTTTTTTGGAGTCTCACTCTGTCACCCAGACTGGAGTGCAGTAGCACACTTCAGGCCACTGCAGCCTCGACCTGCTGGGCTCCAGCGATCCTTCCACCTCAGCCTTCCAAGTAGCTGGAATTACAGGCGCGTACTACCACGCTCGGCTAATTTTTTGATTTATTGTAGAGATGAGATCTCGCCAAGTTGCCCAGGCAGGTCTCGAACCCGTGGGCTCAGGCAATCCACTCACCTCAACCTCCCAAAGCACAGGATTACAGGCTGAACCACCGAGCCCCACTTTTTTTTTTTTGGAGTCTCACTCTGTCACCCAGACTGGAGTGCAGTAGCACACTTCAGGCCACTGCAGCCTCGACCTGCTGGGCTCCAGCGATCCTTCCACCTCAGCCTTCCAAGTAGCTGGAATTACAGGCGCGTACTACCACGCTCGGCTAATTTTTTGATTTATTGTAGAGATGAGATCTCGCCAAGTTGCCCAGGCAGGTCTCGAACCCGTGGGCTCAGGCAATCCACTCACCTCAACCTCCCAAAGCACAGGATTACAGGCTGAACCACCGAGCCCCACTTTTTTTTTTTTGGAGTCTCACTCTGTCACCCAGACTGGAGTGCAGTAGCACACTTCAGGCCACTGCAGCCTCGACCTGCTGGGCTCCAGTGATCCTTTCACCTCAGCCTTCCAAGTAGCTGGAACTACAGGCATGCGCTACCATGCCCAGCTAGTTTTTTTTTTAATTTATTGTAGAGACGCGGTCTTGCCAAGTTGCCCGGGTGGGTCTCAAACCAGTGGGCTCAGGCAATCCACTCGCCTCGGCCTCCCAAAGTGCTGGGATTATAGGCTGAGCCACTGATCCATGTCTGGGTTTTTTTTTTAAGGATGGGGTCTTGCCATGTTCCCCAGGCTAGCCTTGAACTCCTGGGTTCAAGTGACCTACCTCAGCTTCCTGAGTAGCTAGGACTACAGGCACAGACCACTATGCCCAGCTATTTTTTTTTTAGACATAAGTCTTGCTATGTTGCCCATGTTGGCTTTGAACTCCTGGCCTCAGGCAATCCTCCCTGGCCTCCCAAATATTAGGATTACAGATGTGAGCCACTACAGTCAGCTTGTCTGGGGCTCCAAATTGTGGTTTGTAAAACAGATCAGACCAGAAGCAAATTCCACCCATCCAGGGAGCAGAAGGGCCTGTACCTGCTATCAGAAAAAGAGCTGCCATTCCCTGGGCAAACTTCAGGCCAGCGACCTGCTGAGCTAGGGCGGAGGGTGGTTCCCACGGAGCACAAACTCATGGCTTTCTAGGCCTGTCAAGTCACGCCTGGGAAGCAGATGGGTCTCCCAGCAGTTACAGCCAAAACCTCTGACTGACCCTTGCTTCACTGGCACAGGGGAAGAGGCGAAAGGACCTAGTCTTGACAAAGAGCTCATATTATAGAGGAGGGAGTTCCAGGTGTGAAAGATGAGACATGCTCTCAAGAATGTATTGCTGGGTGTAGTGGCTCAAGCCTGTAATCCTACCACTTTGGGAGGCAGAGGTGAGGGGATTGCCTTGAGCTCAGGGGTTCAAGACCAGCCTGGACAACTTGGTGAGACCTCGTCTCTACAATAAAAAAAAAAAAAATAATAAGCTGGGCGTGGAAGCGCATGTCTGTAGTTCCAGTTACTTGGAAGGCTAAGGGGGAAGGATTGCCTGAGCCCAGCAGGTCGAGGCTGCAGTGGCAATCAGCGTGCCAGAGCTCTCCAGCCTGGGCAACAGAGTGACACCCCAACTCAAAAAAA